TGTAGTGTAATTACTTCAGTTTTGTTAGGTCTGTAGGAATTGTTCTGCCATATTCATTGAAGCATTTGAAGTAAATGGTGCACTATATAAATTGTTCCGAAATATCTTATTCTTTCAATGCGGGTATTATGTCTGTCCGTTCGCTTGTTGCATGACTCTTTAAATCATTTGATCATGAAGGACCATTACCGCGTTCGCAGGAACCTGCACTGTAGGCTTATTTTCCGTCATAAAATAAGGAAGGTCACAGATCAAAATGGCGGTATTAAAGGCAAAGCCTTATCCTGTCAGCAATAGATTTATTCCGGCATAAAAATTTGATATCAATCAGCCTGTTATGCTGTTCGAGAAAATTAAAAAAATTAAATTAAATCCGTGGCGTAACAGCTCCAGAGAGCCAAAGCCTACTAGCTTGACTGCTGGCCTCACGTCGAGAAAATTGCCTATCCGTAATAAATGAGCGCTCATAATGCACGTGAACGGACACTCGCCACTGAATTTTAAAAGTTCCGAAATCAGAAACCGAGACAATGTTGGCACATTGGGTGGGCTGTCGGTCATCCACTCCTTGTTTGAGGATGCAACATTAACCCAGTTCAGTGGAACTGTTGCGTCACTGCTAGCGGCCATCTTGGATGTGCTTTTTTGCATCTGAAAACAACTGTAATTTATTTACACTGACGAAGAAGTAGTGTCACTGTGTTTCGGGTTTGGGCAGATTCAAAATCTCGAACCCTCCTATAAGTCAATGTTTCACAAACCGTGTAAGATAACGGCGAGGAAGTACAGAGTCATATTATTATTGATTATAGTGAATATGAGGCAAATTCCCCTTCGCGTTTTTCATCACCAAACCATTTGACACAGTTTTGTAAAAAGTTATGTCCGAGGTCTGCACTGAATTTGTGGGGAACATCCACTTGGAAGGCATAAATGAGATGAGATGTTAACATTGGGATCAGTCTCGGAGTACATCGGTAGTGTGGGTCAGAGGTGGGTGAAATTGTCTCGGGGTCGAGTAGCTTATATTAGCGGTATTCAGTCTTGGTGTTCCATTAGAGCACCACAGCATTATTCTGATTTATACCAGAAGTTGCCACGAATTGCGTTTTGCTCAATGTCGGACCATTTCAAACCTTACTGCTTTACGCGAAACCCAAAACAACTTTTTTTTTATCAGAGTTCTCGAAGATGTTTGTTGTAGTCTTCTGGGTAAATATATACTTTTCGGAGGAACGTATCGTTTCCATCTTCAGAGTATGCTCCGAAACGCTGGTAATCACTTGGAACATGACTTTAGGGCATTACAACCCACAGTGTATGTGTAGTTTTTGCAATGGCCACTGACCTGATTCTGGCTCGATTCACGTCACACTCTCGCTTTCACCCGGTCGCCTAGAGATCGGGGCATTGTGATATTCAACAAGCTTCATCTTGCTTCTTGTTTTGGTGCTTCCGCGTGGCGGTTAATGTCCTTAGTTGGTGGAAAAATTTAATACCTCTCTCTCTCTTTCGTTTGTTCATCCTTCAGTTATTCTGTTTTCTTCATTTGCGCTACATTGTCTTCCTAAAGCGTATTTGTGGGTCTCATATGTCTCAAAATAAACAGCAGTTATGCCCTTAAACAACATTAACCAAATAATCTTTGTAATGGATAGATCTGAAAGCTCGAATATGATTTAGACGAGCTTCGGCTTCAGAAGGTTAACTGCTATTTCGCATTTGAGCTGTATTGAAAACTAATAATTTGTCTTCAAGAGAGAACAATTATTTCTCCTATGAACCTAAATGTTAAAGTGATACTTGATTTAAATTATAAAAGTAAGTAGTTTTCCTCCCGTGCGAGCCGATTAAATAGAAACTGCGAAGTGTTCACTTCTGTCCAACTTGGTACATGCGAGGAGCTGCGAAAAGTCTGCAAGGAACTAATAAGATAATGCGAAGGTGGATTTTAAATAAATAGGTTGTGAGGATGTGGACTGGATTAATCTAATTCAGTACAGGATCAAGTGGTGTGCTCATAGTGAATACGGTAATGAACTTTCGGTTTCCAAAATAACTCGCAGATTAGGACGGCGATTACTATCATCTCAAGAGGGACCGTACTCCATGGAGTTTTTTTTCCTTACGGAGACGACACTGTAAGGAAAGCATTCGTTTAGGTTCTGGGTTATGTGAAGAGCGATGTAGTGCATTCCTAGACCTACAACTGTTGATTAGCCTTCTCCGATATCGCTAGTGACGTACATTAAAGTCAAAATGTTCAGCCTCAATAATCAATCGACACACAAACCTCTGCTCAGTAGAAACATGAGCTGGAAACAATTCGTGACTTGCACATTTTTATAACCTCTTTGGATGGAGAAACTTCATTATTCTCACGGCCTCAGAGCCGGATGGGTTTATGAACGCATTCGTCTTCTTTTCTAGAGAAAGTCAGGGAACATTTGCTTATAATGACGAAGATGATGGTGACAATGTTTTTAACGATGATGATGATGATGTTAATTCGAACGTAATGAAGATGAAGATAACATATTTCGAGGAGGATTACGATAAGAACTTGGGGAAAACAGGTGAAAGGCGAAACAAGTCAAACAAGTAAAATGGTGCGCAGGAGCAGTTAATGAACTAGCTCATGATTGCTGTATTCTGTTTCATGTATATAATAAATCCAAAGTGATCTCGTGTTGGTTACAAAAATGGTGAAATGTTTTCAAATTCGTGATAAGGTTTGGAAGCTAATTCATGACTTCGAAATGAATTTGGAAGTAGTACGAAGCAATCACACCAAAGACCATAACTCAAACAACTTATTAAGCAATCAAGCTCATGTGAAGTAAGGGTTTTAAGAGGACTATAACGGCCCAAATGTAAATTCGTCACGCGACTTTTATATAGACGCTCCAGGACCAAATTTATTCGAAATCCGAGAGATGGGGTTGGATGGACACGAGTTCCCCCATGTGCGTTCAGTTCGTAGATACAGTTTCTTGGACATATGCATTTCAGGTTCCTTTCATTGGGTTTTATATCCACTGTTGTCTATGCCCATTAATTACAGATGCAAATATAATGCTGAGTAAGCAAACCGGCTGTAGAGAAACTATAATGCAGAGAGAATATTGTTGATACAAATTTGTTGTTGACGTTTACATAGTTGATGAACGGCAGTAACAGACAGCAGATCCATAGAGTTAACTAACCAATAGACTGAAACGGACCTGAGAAATGCAACGTGGGATCTTAGGGAGTTGGACTTTGAGGGTCGTAAATGGATGGAGGTGGCTCAGGATCGTGGCCGGTGGCGGGCTTTGGTATTGTCGATGTTGGACCTGCGGGTTCTGCTACCACGGAGTTAGTTAATTAGTTAGTATGTTAGAAGTTTTTAGATGGTCAAACTTTTGTGTCCTGTTGAAGTACGTGCAAATCTGAAATCTAAGAAGCAGCTTTTCATTACAACACACTAATCAATACGGAAGTCGGTTACATGACACGGAACATTTATCAGTGCAATGATAATAGAACATGCATCACCACTTCTGCAAGAATCTTCAAGGATATTTGGTAATAGGACGGTCACTCAGACGTAATGGACAGCTAAGGAAGCTGGAATATCAATAACCGAAGCCCTAGTCTTATGCTATCTTCAAATCGGCTCAAGAACTTTAAATGAAAGTCTATGTGATTCACTGTATAATGCCGAATTTTTACATCGTAGTTATTATAAAGTTGATTGTAGGTTTAACATGTGAGTAATGCGGTAAAATTAATGTACAATGTGTAATTTAATTACCATAAACTGTTCAGCTTTTGTTTCAAGGAGTTGACTACACAAACACACTATCTTCTCTGAGCAGCGTTTGTTAATAAAAATTACCTGCTTTTGTTGCTGGTCTTTGTGTGACTTAAAGGTTGCTTCAATTGCAGAAGTTATGTAGCGTCTAATTAGATAGGAAAGTGATTCTCAATGTGATTATTTGAGAATTTTCAATCAGGGCATGACAGCAGATAACGCCCGAAAATCGAACTAGGTACGCCCCAAATACACAATTATAGTGTTACGGCTACGCCAACCTGCACGTTCTCTTTTCGTGCAACTCCACGACTTTTTACAAAGACCTAGAATTGAAATCTGTCCGAAATTAATTGCATTTAATTCACAGTTTTACAGCGTATCTATCGAAGATCCGTTTCAATGCCATCCTCTCACCCACGCTTCAGAGCTCAGAACGGGTGAAATACTAAAATCATTCCAGAGGTTTTTTAGACAAGCCTTACTAAATATTACCAGCCATCACTGAGATTTTTGTGTGTGAGAAGAGGAACTTCGTGACGTCACGTCTTCAGTGTCTGGGCACGAGCTGCTGCAAAGAAAAAGAGAAAGTCTTCTGCTGTAACGGTTTCTGAAGAAGACTTGATGCGGGTGAAAAGTCAGTGCAGTGAAGTGTGATAGGTCAAGGCAACAGACTTCCTGCTTCATCTGCACACCAATATTCACATGAATCAAAACTATAGCACAGTACTGATGGAACTTCAATAAGGAGATAAATTCTTGAATAGTTGTATAAATGTCATTTAATGGAAACCCTGTTTCATGATGTAACATGAAGTTGGTGTGCTGGCTACTGTCAACTTCTGTAGTTAATGAAGAACGTTCCTATCAAACTTATTTTTCTTTCTCCTTACCAACCAAAGTTCTGTATGTGTGTTTTGGTTCCCCCACCCAAGCTACATGTCCTGCTCATTGTAATCCTAACCGCACCAGGTGACACGTGACCTGGAGACTGGCTGTTCTAAGGTTTTCCTCAGTTCCTGCAGATAAGTGCCAAGATCTTACATTGGCCCAAACCACATCTTTCCACACCATTTCCAATTATGTTCCCATTTGATGCTGTGTAACCTATGCAGTTGAGAAAGCATTCATATTTCTTGGGCCCAGGTTAAAAGAATTATGAATTTTATTTAGAAAAAGAACAATTTATTGTCTGCTATTTCAGGATGAAGCTGCAGGTGCTGGAAGCCATGAGGACCAGCCAGTGTTCCAACGTCTGGTGGACAACAGAGTTGAGAACAACAGCGAGGAAGAAGATGACGACAAAGAAGAGGACAAGGAGCTGTCACAGCCACAGCCACATCAGCCTGAGCCTCAACATGCTGCGTCACAGGAACACACACCGATACAGATCAGACTGCCACTGCAGCTGGACTTTGATGAGCTGGCTGGAGTAAGTTCTCATTTTACTGAAATATAGAAAGCTGCAACTGATCAGTTAGTTATAGCAATAGTAAGCAGGCTATTACTCCACAATGAAGTTCACAGCATCTCCAACAACACTGGACGTAAGTTATTAGTGTACTCACTGAGTTAGTGTAACAGTTTTGAAGTTAACTGCACTGATTATTCAAGTCTGTTAATACATCGCACAAATCATAACTTGAACTAATTGAGAAATATTAGTTAGTAGCAGTTACTCCACACATGTAATGGTTATACTGCCATGACAGTCCTCCGGAATGGGTCAGTGGCATTTCCTCAGATGTAATGATAAAGTTCTTTTTTAATTCTGTAGTGGAATTTTCTTCACACCAGATGTAATGGTTATGTTGCTGTGACTCAGTTTTGAAAATCACATATGAAGGTCCAGTTGTCAATGAAAGAGGGGAGGCTGTAAAAGGTAATACCCTTTCTATCCCATGCACTGGTCACAATGATTGTAAACACAGGGAAAAATTTGCCCATCCTATATGACTGACTTCAGCCAACTTGTTTACAGAGAACCTTTATGCCAATTTGGGTTCTTCCTTTATTGTGATTTTTAAGAGTGTTTTTTCTTTGCAGGCATTGGTGGAAAAGAATCAAAGATCTAGGATGAACTGTGTAGTAGAAAAACGTCGTGCAGAGGAAATTGTGGATCATCAGCCTCGCACCATTCGTCTTCCTTTCGGCGTGAATGTGACAACAGACCCTCGATATGAGCATGTCTCTGGAGAGAAGATGGCTATTTACTGTGAGAGTGGGAAGGACCAGCGGTTAGTGGAAACAGAACTTATGTTAGATATATTCTTGTCATGTGAAATAACATTTTGGAATGCTGGGAGGCCAAGAAATAGACCTGCCCTGAATTGTATGCCCTTACCAAGATTGCTCTCAAATTACTGCAAGACAAGTCTAGTTGAGAGGTAGCTTTTAGATATGGCATTCACTTGTCCTGACTGAGATTTTTACTGCTGTAAGATGTCATGACATTTTTGATAGAAGACAGTAAAGGGAACCCAGATTCATATAGTTCACATTTAGGTTTGTATGTTATTGATGTATTGAGCAATGTGCAACATTCACAGTTATGATTTACATATTTTTTTAACTTTCTGAAAATATATTATGTAGTCTTTTAATTTTTAACAGAATTTTAGCAAAAATATAACAAAATATAATTTTTTGGGCTTTTAACATTCTTACAAATTATGCCTTCCGAGGCAAAACAGAAATGCTTTTATAAAACCAGTCATCCAGTCTTAGTTAAGAGGTCCTTGTGCAGTGATTAATGTGTTGTAATAACGTATGTATTTTATACTGTAAGTCTTGTTTCATAAAACAAATGTTAAGGAAATTGTGTGTGGGGTGGGGGGTTGTGGACTTAATTGATTTGACTTGGGATAGGGACTGATGGCATGCTCTTGTGAACACAGGTTTTGTAAAAGTTGGTGAATTTCTTAAGTAGCTGAGACTATCAACTTCTCATGATAGACTCTGCTCTATGGAGCTAGTTTTTTCATACTACATTTATATCAACACTTGTCTCTGTTATTTATAACATTTTATGAACTGGTTTGAAACGGTTACTGAACCTTCTAGAGCTCATAAACTGTTGAACCAGAACAGAACTGGATTGTGAGATTATGCTCCAAACCAGACCTCTATTTCACAGGGTTCAAATGCATTACCAGTCAGCTTGTCTTGGGCAAATGTCTTCTTTTTTGTATATCATATAACTAAGTGTGCAACGTATTAATTTTTTCAGGTGTTTGGAAGAGAGAGAGAGAGAGAGAGAGAGTGATAAAAGATTTTGAACAAAATGGTAACATGTATTTACCAAATTTAATATGCTGTAAATTTATACACTGAAATAATCTTGAAATAATGCATATTTGTTCACAGACACATGCCAATGGAGATGATGGCTACACCGGTTGTGGTTCCCTTACCTGGCCCCATACACCTCCCACTCCAATTCCATGGTGCCATGCAGCAGCCCCATCAGAGCAGAGTTCCTGTTTCTGTTAACCAGGCAGATCAACCAGCAGTTGGACTTGTTCCTCCACCACCCAACCATGTTCAGCAAGTGCCTCTTCCTATTGCCCTACCAATGCACCATATGCAACTGCTCCCTGGTCAAAACCATGCTGCTGTTCAAGTGACAGAGACTCGTGATGAACGACCACCTTCCCCAGACCAAGTCCCCGTTCAGGTAGAAACACGTGAGGGACGTATCTTGCATCGCATCCCAATCCAAGTTGAAGGGCATGAAGGTAGGACATTCCAACAGATTCCAATTCAGGTCACTACACATGAAGGCAGGGCATTTTCCCGTAGACCCTTTCCGGTCCAGGTAGAGACCCATGAAGGAAGGGTATTCCCTCACCCACCTGAGCCAATCCAGGAAGAGACCCGTGAAGGTCACGCATTCCAGCCAGTACAAAGTGAGGGACGTGAAGGCAGAGCCTTCCAGCACCAGCACATCCCTCTCCATATGGTTGAGTCCCGAGGTTTCAACCCTGATGCTGCTGCAGCAGCAGCTGCAGTCATGCATGCTTCTGAAGGTCGTGTCTTCCACCAGCAGTCACCAGCCCTGGAGATGGTGAGCCACCAGCAACTCCCAGTCCATATACCTGTTCCCATGATGCAGCAAATCCAAGTGGAGGAGCAGCAGGCACAACCTCGTCCACACTGTGAGTACATGTTAATATACTAATTGTATGTATGTAATATATATTGATACCAATGTCATGTGCCAGTAGGTACAGTGGCTGGGGCAAGACTGTGTTCCAGTATGTGTTTTTTTCCCCCTTCTACTTGCAAGCTAGAGACAAAGTGAATTGCATGGTTTGGTCCCTGCCACTGTACTCATGGATATTAATAGTATGTACCAGTGTATATACCTTGATATTCTGATACTCCAGAATATGTATCAATGGGTATACAATGATACTTGTATTATTAGTGATTGTAGAGTTGTCTTATTAGTATCAGCAGTTGCACTGGCAAAAATATACCTTCTTCTTAGAATTCTCCCATTTTCATATGTTCTCTATCTTGTGCTCTGCAACTTAACTCTTTGGTATATGATGAGAAGGATTAAGTCAACTGTAATTTGTATTGATATTAAGTTTTCTTTAGTCCCATGTTCATCCTTCCATTACTTTCTAAATGGTGGCTGTCTTTATTCTTCCTATTCCACATATTCCATCTGATAGAGGAAGAAACAAATGCCCTACTTTCTTCTTTATTTTGGTCTTTGTTAAAAACATGTTTTCGCAGCTGTTGTAGCTTCTTGTTTCATTGTGGATTTTCCAATTCAGTCTCTGCATTTCTTTATTTACATGCCTTCTGTTATTTCACCATCTACCTGATATAGCTCCTATTACTACTACTTAAAAGTTGCTTGTTTGTTGTTTGTATTTTGTTCTGTTTTTTCTTATTAAAGTCAAAATGTCAGACCTGTATAATGACACAGATAAGCCATACAATTTAATCTTTGTTTTCATTCTTGCTTTGTTTCTTAAGGGAGGATCTAATTGTTTGTTTTATGTTTTACAACTATTTTTGATGTGTAAGAGATAATCATAATTATTTAACTCTTCTAGAAATGTGCTAAGTAGATAATGCATATTAGCTCAATCATTAAAGTGAATGGCTGACTGAATTTTCTTTACTGGTACTAGTTTTTAGTAGTATCTAATGCCTCTGTGGTCTACTTATCCTTGTAATGGATACGAGTTCTCCCCAGGGCTAAAGACAGCTGGAGGCTGAGGTTAAGAATATGTGGATGTTTATCTTTGTGCACTCTGTACATCTAAGTGGCCCTGTACATTAACATGGGAAAAGCTTTGTCTCTTATATTTCACAATCAAGTGAAGGCTGTGATTTATTGTTTTGAACTGCAGATGTCCAGCCCAGGTCAGTGCGAAGTGTGGATGAAGTTCTCCATCGCCGCGACAAGAGGGTGCGTCGTTGTGCTTGTGATTGTGCCTGCTAACACAGAATTCTTCAGACATACCAGTCTGCCTTGGCAAGCAGTTTCACACAGCAGAAATAATCATTTACCGGAAGGAAGACATCATAAAAAATGATGTTAACACTTCAATAAATAGATCTGTTTCAAAATCCTTAATACTTCATTTCTCCTTTCTTTCTATATGTGTACAACATGACTGAACACAATATTTTAAAAAATGTAACAGTTCCATTCTTTGTAAGTTTCTGTAGATACATAGTCCCAAGTTTTAATTCTAAGAATATTACTCTACTGCTATTGTAAGACATGCATTCCAGCTTCAGTTGTAAATATTAGTGTTTTAATGCTTTAAAGCTAAGTGGTAACTGTATATACCACCTACATTAACAATGAGCAACTCTGCATTTTGTATTTGTGGCCTTCAGTTCATTATAAACAGTGATTATTTAGTTAAACAGAATTAACAAGTAGATCCTTTAAATGGAGAAGTGTTGTGTTTTCTTTGAGGAACGGACAGATTTTTTAAATACTATTTAGAGAATTTATAAATTAAATACAGATGTAGCCACAGACCTGTGTCCTTGTGTGTTACTCTATTTCCCCCTTTTACAGAGTTTTTGTGTAAAAAAAAAAAGAATAATTATCATAAGATCTGTCACATTTAGTTCAAACATTTTTTGATGTACCAGTTTAACAAAATGCAAGGACAAATTAGTTACAAGTCTATGCATGTAATATTTCTACTGTTGATTATATTTATCTACAGTAGAATATATGACTATGATCTGTACCATCTCGCTTTATCAGTAATGTATGAATGCATGAAATTCAAGACCAATAAAATCTGCAAAGGACTGAAAGCATGCATTATGAAACTGTTTATACTCTGAACTGGAATTCTCAGAGCTGTACTATATGAAAATCTTATGAAGACAGTGTTTTGTGTTTCTTTTATTCTATCCTGTGTTATGGAAAATATTACAATTATATTTGAGAGATGAGTAGGCATATTAAATGTTGAAAATTAATTATGTGGACCATTATCAATATTTTTTGTACAAATATTAAAATATAATATGTAAGATTCAAAACATCTCTTGGAATAGTTGAAAAACCATCTTTTATATTCTCAATACCAAAACTTCTTGGGCACAAAAGAAATTCATATAAATTTGATCTATAAATACCATTTTATCTATTGAAACTGAGTCAGACTTAAGTTTTCATAAAGTGTTTAAAAGCAATAGAAATTGTTATGCTTTCTATTTTATTTTTTTATGACACTCATATAGAAGAACTGGATTTTTGAGCTTCAAGACTGTTAGAATAGAATTTATTTACATTCTACAGAACCTTCATAGGCCCAAGCCAAAGATTTAGAACATGTCATAGCACAAATAGAACACTTATTTCTACAAATATAAATTGCATTGTTATGACAGAATTTTACAGTCAACAGAGCATCATTCTGGAAATACGCAGCATAAAGCATACATTGAATATACATAGGCATGGACCAGTCCCTGTTGATATCTCAGAAGACAGTGTCTTGTTCTATAGGCTACCAGGAAGTTCGAAAACTCTCAATATGGAACTACATTCGTGCAACTTAGATATCATAGAAAAGGTGCCATTTTTTTCGTTAAGGATTTTATTTCAAAGTTGGTAATTACTCAGCTGTTCAATAAATTCACTGCTTTCATAGAACCAGAAGGTTCATTAACATGGTTACAAAAGTCTGATATTTCACACCATCATGAGCCAGTTGTATCTGGTCTCTATCTTCACCTTTCCTTGAAGAGCCATTGATATTGACATTATCCTCTCATCTGCACCTAGGTTTCAAAGTGCTTTCTGCCCTTCAAGTTTTTAACAAAATGTATGCAGGTTTTAATGCTGCTGTGCATTGCACATGTTCTGCCCAACGGCAGAAAGAAAAACATCCCATTTCAGTCATTCTAAATAGTTTCAAGGGCACCTAATGAAAAACTTAAAATGCGAAATCAGTAAATGCTGTCCCTATTTCCCTTGTTTGTTTCGAGAAATGACCTCCATAAATGTTCATGTCACAAATCAACACTGTGATGACAGGTAATGCACTGAAAGAACCTCCGTTGATATACAAAGATAATACGTGTTTTAGCAGGGACAATGGTGATATGATGTATTCTCAGCAGATGGCATACTTATCAGTGTAGAATAACAAAATGAAGTTGAACGTCTCCTCTCGGATGGTACATTGATTGGGACAAGAGATGGCGAGAGAATCAGTTTGGGTAGCTGCGGCTATGTAATCCAGTACACCAATACCAACCTAATGTTGTCCGGCACGATGTGAAAGGGGATGTATGTATAGTTTCCGATGTGAAAGGGGATGTATGTATAGTTTCCGTGTTTGCGTACAGCCAAGCGCGCGGTTTGTTGATGCAGTGGTTTAGTACTTCGAATCACATGCTGTGGTGTGGCGACTGTAGTATGGTTTCTTACTGACTGCGAAATAGGATACAGTATGCTGTCAAATTTAGTAAATAGAAGTAACAGGAATCGTGCAGCCAACATCAATTAAGAAGTGTGGTAAGTAGGCTTGAAAATTTATCTATCATAAATCTGCTATAAAAATTTGTGATTAGTCGTTGTCGTCAAAAAATGACGTCATCAACAATGTCAACTATAAACAAACTCGGCATTGTTGTGGAACACAACAATGCCGAGTAAACAAATATAACGCTTCACAACAAAAACTATCAAGCCAGTCGCATTATCACTGCTCCAAAAGCAGCACATCGTCTGCAACAAAGTTGGAGAGGAAGGATATTTTCAAACCGACAATTGGGAATGAGAGTTTACAGTGGTAAGTGGGGTTGTAAATTTTGTCACATCAAAAAGGTAGTTTCGAATATAATGTTACCTCGTCTTAAAATGCATACATGTACTAGGACTTCTGATGGCAGACACTCATTAACCACCTCTTGACAGACTGACGACAGTTATGTATATATACTTATTTCCAATATTCTAGACATTCAAAAGTATTTTGGTGGAAGAAAATCTAAGGGAGAGGCAGTTGGTAAGTCAACGAACAACAGAAGTGTGATATACAGAGATTTGTTATGAATATAAAAATTTCAACTGAAGAAAGCGTAGGTCATTACAAATTAAAGCATCAAACACTGGTTTGATGAATATTCAAAATTATGGATAGATAGAAGAAGACAGGTTATATTGCAGTGGTTGTAGAAACCAAGTTGACTGGAGATAGTATGGACAATGTAAGCCATGAAGTTAGTAGAACTTTCAGGGACAATAAAGAGAATATCTGAAGGACAGAATTAATGAACTTGAACTTAAAACAGACAGAAACATAGATTAATTTAAGAATGTTTACCAACTTGGAATTAACCTGGTAAATGGCGAGAATAGTTAGAAGAATTACTTTTGCCAGCATTGAATGTCCATGGGGTTAAGAGTGTTAAACAAACTGAAATACATAGAGCTGAGCCATTGATATGGTACTTGAGCCAAACTCTTGAGGTCGAGTTGTTGTTGAAATGTTGAAAGGATATGCATCAGCAGGTATCAGTCAGATTCGGCACAATTGACCCAAGTAGGAGGTAATACATTATGTTGTGAGATCTGCAGACTTATTAACTGTTTGATGAGATGGTTGAGGCAAGAAGCACACATGGGATGGTGGGAAATCCATACAGAATTCTGGTTGGAAAGTGAGACCACTTGGAAGATTTAGGCATAAGTGGGACAATAATATTTAAATTGATCTTAGAAAAATAGGTTTGTAGGGTGTGGATTAAATCCATCTGGTTGAGGATATATACCTGTTGTGAACATGGTAATCAATCTTTAAGTTGCATGAAAGGCAGGGAATTTCTTGACCAAATAGTTAAGAATGCTTTTAGCTTCTCAAGAAAGACTGCTCTGTGGAGTTACTGTAGTTATTCATCTGCAACAGATTCGGAAAGCAAGCAACATTTTATTGTCTGTTTTCTGCATAGTGCTTTTTCTTACAGAAATTATTTAATTTTGTTCTTAATTCCATCAGTTCTATAAATTAATTTTTAATGATCAGTTGAGTTCTTTGTTTCTAGTCTATCTATTCCTAGTTTATTTAAGAGTGCTTTCTCAGTTGCATGGATTTTATAGTGTTAGGTGGCAACTGTGATTTATAAATTGGCAGATTTTTAGAGGGTAATGGTTGTCTACCTCCCTCCAATCTATTTTAAATTATTCCCTCATCTCCTTAGTCTTTGAAGTGACTATTTTCTGAGTGGTTCCACATAAAAATGCGGTGTATTTTGTACTCACTTTCTCAGCTGTTTTTTCAGGGCATTGTAAAAATAGTAGGTGAACAATATAAATCATTAAGTTTCTTTTTGTATAAATGCCTTCCATTCTCCATTTTGTCTTAAGACGATTTATTTTTCTGTTTTTTAAGATTGTTTTGTTGCAGTAGTTGCTTAATTGACAGAAAAATGTCTAATTGTGTTATCATTTTGATGTTAAGTGATGCATGATTTTAGCGTTTATTAAGATAGCATAAACATCTCTTCCTAGCCACTTATCACTTAGGATGTGTTGTGGGTGTGTGTTATTAGCACACTGAAATATTTTAGGATCAGCAGTTGGCATTTAGTTTTTATATGAATGTTACCTATATGTATAGCCATAACAAATTGTTTTATATTAAACTAATATGTTACTGAAGTATGTTACAGTTAAATACTCATAATAATTAATAATAACGATAGCTTTTTAATTTTCTGTTATCATTGATATAAATATGGTGGCTTTGCTAATTTCATAGGCTGGAAAGACTTATTCATGAAGAAATAATTTTAAATTTATTCTACTTGATTGGATCCTTGTAACAACTGGCAGTTAATTGTATATGTAGTTAATGATACATCCTATTTATCAATAGTTGCTACATGCTACAGGAGACAAAGTACAAGAGAAATTTAAGAACATATGTAATTTCTACTCTCATTTAGAATTTGTATGTTATTTGAATCAAGAAGGATGAGATGGCAAGTCTTGTGGCACACTTGAGGAAATAAACACACAGAATTCCTGATGTCATTAAATGGCCAAAGAATCAGTAACTAATAGGGAATTCCTTGAACAGCTGAATAAGTATGAACTGTTCAATGAAAATTGTACTGGAGTGTTAGTTACAGCACATGGCCAGAAGTTTGGCTGTTTCAAATTATATTTCTCATCTTCTGGCTTCTTTGAAGAGTTCAAAGGAAAATAATTTTTGCTTTGATGATATATTATATGTTGATGTATTGTTATAATGTATAAACCTTGAATACAGTGTTCTCAGCTGGAAATCCATAAGCTACTGTCAATCAGCAGCTTAATTTATGCTGACTGAAAAACTGTTCGTCTTATGTTTCACCATAACTGGAAAAATGACTGTTTTACAGCTGTAAATATTTCTTTTTATTTTGTTTTAGTGAGTAAATAGTTTGTGTTTAATATTACTGCTTTCTTCCTCTCTTTTGGTGTTTGGTGGAGTGACTGGTTGAGTAGTGAGGAAAAGGATTTAGCATTTAGGTTTCATTTGATGCATGTCTCAGAAATGTGGAGGCAAAACCAGTTTACAAACTACAGAAACTTGAAAGAAGATATGACTGGCAATTTAAATTTTTTTATATGCCGTAATACATAATTTCTAACCATGCAGATTGCTGATTTTCTGGTTGGTGAGTCAGAAGAGGTTATGAATTACCGCTGTAATACAAGATTGAACTGGGCTTAATATTTGCAGTTTTTTGTTAAACAGTATTTTTAACACATCTGTCTTACTATTAGGCACAGTGGTGAGGGAGATCATAGTGAAAAATGTTAAAAATAAATATTTTATATGGTTTTTCCATATCTTAATATGTTCATAAATTACATGAAATGTAAAATAAACCTCAGAGCATTGACACAAATTGGATTTTGGATGTGAAAATATGCGAATCAGAATTCTGTTACCTAGGTTTCATCAAATTTCAGCCATTTGAAGGAAGGTTAAATGTTTGTAATATTTTGGTTGGAAACACATTCCAAAACTGCTTTATAGACTGTAAAGAACTGTCCTCATATTCTTGTCTTCATTCCATCCCGTTCCCTTTTCTCTCACCGTATTTGAAAACTTTTTGACGTAAATACGTCTATACGGAAGGGTCATTCGGCAAAAACAGCGTTACGAAGATGTGTAGGATCCATACCAACAATGTGTAAATATGGACCGACAATGGTCAGCTTTTATATGAACTTCTGCGTGCATAACAATGCAAGAAAAAGGATTCGAATTTCTAACACAGCCTGCAACAATATTGGCTGAGCATGCATGCTGTATAATTGCCTGAATAAACCGTATTGCAATCCACTCCTTTACCTAAGAAACTAATTGTTATGTCATCTGTTTATTCGGCATTGTTGTGTTTCATTACTGCCGTCAATAATCCGCTTTCGTTATTGCAGAAAGAGCTGAGCTGTGAATCGCTTGTAGAAGAAGTGCGTTGTAGAGTAGATAATATTGTGCTGTTAGAAACGTTTTAGAATATCACAAATACTTATCTTATACAAGAATTATTAAGAAATCTGTGATACTGCCCTCCACTGTCTCCATTTTAGTTTTGATTAAATTGATCATTGCCGGTGGACATCGGCGTCTCTTACAATTGAACAAAGTTTGAGGTAAGGGATAGAGGCGTATCGCACTTCACGCTACTGCTGCGTTTGTGTGTTGCGTCATGCTACAGGATGTGTGGGAAGTATAGTCATTGAGAAATGGTTATAACCTCTATATTTCCAATGCAAAGATAATGCAAATAATTTTTACATGTACCTTTTTAAAGCCTAATGCCTACTTACTTCCCACCCTCTCTGTATGTAGAGGTAACAAGATGGATAACATTGAAGCTAAAAGAGTCCGTAATGCAGAATATATGAGACAGTACAGAAAACGTAAAAAATAGAAGTATTAAATAATTAACCTGAAGTTGCCCCCAAAATACCAAAAAACTAATGCTGGACGTATGAGGGAATATAGAAATTGCAAGAAGCAAGTTAATGCTTCCACATCATTAGCAAGTACAAGCAGTGTCTTAATCAAACTATTTACTCAATTGTAAAGCATGTATAAAGGGAATATTTAGAATAAAGCTAATATATAAACTTCGTTTCATTGTATTTATTGCCTAAATATAATTTAAATACAAAGACGTATTTACGTCAGATTCTCTGGAACCGTGGTTCCACTGTCAATTTTTTCTTAGGCTTGTCTGGGTTTTCCTTCAGTTCTCCTTCCATACTGTCTTGCTTGCTGTACTTATTTTGGGTATCTGAAATGTGAATTTTCTGTTGTTAATTTCAGTGGTTTAACTTCTAAAATTGTTAGATGTGTGTAACAGCATGGAAGTAACTATAACCGTCAGGGGCCAGTCCATTCTGCAAAGTGATCACTTTAGACATTTATTTCTTTTTACAGTAAAATCGTCATGCTACATTTCATTAGACCAGAGACCTTGGAGGACCTTGCTCTGAGGACAATTGAAGACCATGTGTCTCAACTTTGTATGCATTTGGTGCAAAACAAAGTGCCAGAGAGCAAGAAAGTACATCATGCTCAAGAGAGGTGCAGACAACTCAGGTGCATACTGCACTGTGCATTGCCAACTGTAATAGCCAATAAAATGACGGCCAAGTTGCTGAAGTGTGTTGATGGCTTGTATGATGATATACGTGACTGTATCAGTGAGACCTGGTGTCAGGAAGTGATGTATGAGTTACTGAGTGCCATTATCCATCCAGGCATAACAAGGCTTGAGTTGGGTGCAGAACCAATGCATAGTTTTGACTACAGATATGAACTGAACTTCATAGTGTTCTTCTTGTTCAACAAGTTGTGCACAATGAACGATCTTAAAGTAATACGACTTGGAAATCAGTATCGCCACAGAATCTGGACAAACAGCGTGTATGTGGCTGAAAGCCTAGAAGAATTCACTTCTGTGTACAGATGCAGTGATGTGTTGCTGGAAGCCATTGTGGAGTCTTGTAAGCGACTGAAGCGTCTTCATGTCAGCTGGTCCCCAAACATCACAGATGCAAGCGTCTGTGGCATCTTGAAATTACGGCACTTGGAAGAACTGAGTGTGATGGGCAAAATATCTCAAAATGGTCTGACACAATTATTAAATGGGCTAGCTGAGAATACAGGATCTGGAGACAAAAATGCTAGAACATGCTCTTCACAGTTGTTAAGTTTTGGATGTTACAACATTTCATCCTCACATATCAGTCTCTTGGTTGAACATTTTCCAAATCTTATTGAACTCAAACTGCTTTGCAGCAATGAATGTGATTTCACCCCACTGAAAGGATTGAAACATCTACGAGGACTATGGTTGTCAAACATCAGATTTACTGGAGTCAGACAGCTTCTTTGCACAATAGGTAGTCAGCTGGTATACCTGCATCTTATCTATGCTGAAGCTGTGGATGTGAAGTTCATTGGAGAACACTGTCCCTCATTAAATTGCCTACATTTGATTGCTTATGATGAAACTGTTCCTTCATCAGAAGACTATGCATATCCTTGTCTTCCTGGCTTTGAGTCAGTTGAGTGTCTTCATCTTAATTTCTCTGGCACATCTTGGCCAAAATTCTTTCTACATCAATGTAAAAATGTGAGGAAACTTGTTGTGTATTTACGTAACAATAGCAACTGTGAGATGTTGGAGAGAGTTCTTCAACAGGCCACTCTAAGTCATCTGGAGGAAGTCTATTGGTCTCCAACCTGTCAGTTTGCACAGAATATTGCTAACTTACTTATTGAAAAGTGTCCAAACCTCAGAGTCATTAGTCCTTTAGAAAGGTAAAGAGTTGTCTGGTGCAGTTTGATTGGAAGTGAAGAAAAAAGGGAAGGAGAAGTAGAAATATACTCGTGGCATGTGAGTAGGAACTTGGTGGTGAAGATTTTCTGACTTGTGTCTGATTCTGTAATTATTACTTTATGAAATTTGGACATGGTAGATGTTGAGCTAGGTTAACTTCTGGAGATCAGAATTACATATGCCTTTTGCAGACAATAAGGTTATGGACAGTTTACCCAACACTGGGTATAATTTTACATGGGTGCTGAGTGGTTCATGAGACATGGACCAGAAAATGGTCAGAACTTGCCTTCAGTTCTAAAATTGGTACTTCATGAAAATCGGTCTGCTGGTTATAGCTGAAAATTTTGACCCTTTAAGAAATTTTTTGGTACATGCAGTAAGATATTTTTTGTTCATATCATGGTGTATATTTATACATCAGTAGCAAAGAGCAAGGTAGTGGAGTGCTGTTTTGTTCAAGTCTCCTTAATTGTGTTTGCAGTTTATAGAGAGACTGTCCCAGCCAAGTTTCTTTTTGTGATTTTCCTCACTCCCTTCCAGTCATTGCTGCAATAGTGTCTTAAAATAGGCTATGGCATTTTACTTCCACATTGCTTATTTTTCATCTTCTCATGACATAAGAACTAAGTAATGTACACAACTGTTACAGTTAAATAAACTGCAAATAAACCAACATTCATCAGTGCCATTATGGAGCTTGGTTCTTTATGATGATGTTGTGTAGCTCACATAACGTATATTCTTCTGTTAAAATATCCTGTGCAGTTCTGCCAGCACCATTTTGAGGCTCTGTATTTAGACATTTGTCAAATTGTTCTTGGGGTCACTTGAATATTGTAATAATTATTTTAGTTGTATGATTTAGAATCTCAATGTTACCATTAGAATAAGTTTTAGAGTATTAAGATGGTAACTGCAGTAACATCGGACAGTATTTTAAATTTTATATGTGATGGTTCCCAGGTGCTTTAACTGGCAATTTCACACAGTTAAACCTGAACACATGATATACCTGGATTATTAGTGTTCTTAGATTTTTATCCTAGTTTGTAATTGATTTTAACTACTTTAAATTTCAGAACACTGCATTCCAGACGACGGCATCTTGATGCTTTATTTCTTATTAATGTATTTAAGGGTAAAATAAATCGCAGTTCCATTATGGACACTGTTGGTATTCGTGTGCCGTCAAGGCAATTAAGAGAATTTTCTATGTTTTGTGTGTGCAGTGTGCTTAGATATAGCCCTTCAGCCAGGTGTGTTATTGCAGCAAATGATGTATGTAAATTTTTGGATGTATATGGCATAAATATTGTTTCTTTTGATGGCACTTTCTCATTAAGAGAAATGATCTAGATAGCAGCCTAGATTGGATCTACCTTGGTTATTTGTTTCAATTTGATTATTGCTTTTATTTTATTTTTTGTATTGTTTTAGTATTTTTTTAGTGTTTTACATTTATATTAGTGTTTGGTAGTTATTTGTTTTTGATGTAATTTGTATTTTTTTGTTGTGTTTTTGTTTTAGTGTTTGCATGTCATAGGCTCTTTGCTGTTGGCAACCACTCTAATAAAGAAATTGAACTGAATTGAATTGAACTGAATAGAATTGTCAGTGTCTCTACAGTAACTAGTATTTAATTTGGTAAATATTTGAAAAATGTTTAGCCCATTAGTTTTACAGGCTTTGAATACAATTAAATTATCTGAGCACATAAGAGATGGGGATTTAATAAAAAATAAATAAATAAAAAAGCATGCTTGGAGTGAAATGGCTGTAACTTCTATATATTTTAATAAACTCTTATTCACACTCTGTAGATAGGTCTTGTATTATCTGTGGAATATGGAATACACTTTAATAATCAATTTAGTGTCGTGATCGTTGAAGCAGTAAAAACAGAAGTTACATTTCCTTGAAGCACAATATAATTGTATACATTTTTTTTAAATCCCACACAATGATGATCTTTGTTTGAACTAGGACAACCCCCAATAATGATTTTATGAATGCTTATGCATAAGTAGGGATTTGGTTAATATTTCTTTCACAGGTACTATATTGAACAATGGCTCACATTTCCAGAATGCTATTTGTGGCTCTGCTATACCTTGCAGCCCAAATTCACCAATAAGAATTTCCACCTGTCCACTTTAATTTGGCATGTCTTATATTAAATCTAACACCACTTTCCACATGTCCACTATCATTTTTTTTAATATTTATATTAGCACAGTCATCTGCTGAATCTAATAAACTTTTTAGGACTTGGGGTTTTCATGATTCTATAAGTTTAGTTGGTGGTCTGCTGATTGCATAGCAGCTATCTCTGTCTTCAGGGTTGAAGTGAGGAGAGTCAGGAAGTTGATGGGAGTAAAGGTTTAGGAGGAGGATCAGGCTGAGAAGATTGGCCAGTCAGTCATGTTACAGGAAAGGGAGACTGAGCTGAGACCAGGCCGACAGAAAAGTACCAAGTTTGTTCTGTAATATTTAAACTGTCTTCCAGTTATTGCAGTTTATATTTCCCTGGCACAATGGATAAAAAATGAGTTGGTTGTAGCCATGATTTAGTCAGTATTAATTCATTGCAGAATTACTTAAGTGATAAACTGCATGGCCTGCTGGAAAACCTGTGTAATAACAGTGTTTTGTGGGGATTAAGTTGTGATGGTGGGAGGCAGGTAGATCATATAGAAACTAGGCACTGATTCTGACTACCAAATTTAATAATGGCTGTTTCAGAATTATAGCTATAACAGATGATTAACACATTAGTTACTCTGGGCATGAGCCTTCATTCTGGTAACACCATTGTGGTTCTAGGGCTTCTGCCTGAATTCCTTGTCGTACCAGGCGCTCTCGATGAGCAAGCATGCGATATTCTGCCTTTTGCCACCCCTCATCTGGATTACTCCAAAGCCGTTCAGCCATGGCAGCTGCACGGGGCCAGAAGCGTCCATCCACAGAGCTCTCATCAACCTGTTCTGACCAAAGAGCTGCTTCAGCTCCCAGAACAAGCTCCCGTGCCTCTGTACCTGGACTGATATCGACCCCCAAATCTGTGAGCATAGTGTATGGATTGTTCATGTACACCTTCTGCCAGCCAATGTAAGGTGAGCACCAGTTGTTGCCTTCACTGATCCAAGCACCAAACCTGGAAGAACAGTTCCATCATATCATCTTTATTATTGCATAAATTGAAAGTCATATGCTGAATTCACTTTGAGCCCCCTACTACACAGTACAGAATAGTTCTTCATTCCACTATGCATAATAATTTTGCATCCTTCATGTAAATATTGTTAGGGTGGAAAAAATTGAGAAATATGAGATGAGTGGAACATGCATAAAAGCAGGGAATATCTTGACAAGATGAGTAATTCTCAACTTTTTAATAAGTTCTGCATCATGTAATTAAGAGTTAGGTCAATTTAGCTTAGCTTAGCTTACAGGAACACCAACAAAAATATACACATACATACACCTTTATTGATAGAGTATAGAAGCCAAGAATGTTATGGCTAGCTGGACATGTAACCTGGATGGGGGAAAACAAGAAACGCTTATAGAATTTTTGTGGAGAGACAAGAATGTCATGGAAAGCATACACATGAAGAAGAAGGAGATTAGGACTGTAATAACATAGCTCTTAGGGGAGTCATTTCGGAGGGTATGAAGTGAGAGGTGTTATATCTCATTTTCCATAGCATGAAAAAGAACAATCCCTTAAAGAGGCTGATTCATGTGAACTTGAGAAGTTTCTACATTAACTCACCCACAGTCAAAGTACAAGGCATCATAGTTGGAGAAGATGACACGGAAACCTTTGTTGATGAGTTCTGCAATAACTTTGTCACTTCCTTTTGTCCAGATCTGAATGATATATGTCTTGTTGTCCAGATACTTGTCCACTGTTCCCTGTGCAGTGAGGTGACTTGTCCAGAGCACTATTGGGATCTCCTTGCCTCCATTTGCCTCCACTACCTTTGTATATGCTCTTTTTTGGAAAATGTCCCACAGCTGCAGATAGTCATCGTCTGTCTGCCCAAGATGATGACTCGTCATCCAATTTACAATCTCTGGTGAGGACCTCCAGCACCCAAAGTTCACCTGCAGCAAGAAATTAAATAAATCTCTTAAGTATGCAGTAAAGGAATTAAAAGAGGAAATGTCTGACCAACCATTTCTCTAGTTAGAAGAACAAAAATTTTGGCACCACTAATTCCAAAACTTGCCAGCACACATGATACTAAGTCAATAATATCTACCTCCCATCCTCATAACCTATTTCCCTAAGATTCCTCTTAATGTTATCCTCCAATTTCCTTCATGATCTTCCAAGTGGTGATGTTTCAAAAGCTCTCCCCTTCCAAATTATGTGTGAATTTCTTGTATGTCCCATCCTAATTACATTCCTGCCTAAACCACTACTAATGGAAGAATACTAGATGATCTGCACAATCTACAGAATTCAACATTATGTGATGATTGATAAAATAAAGTATTAAAACTCTTAATGATATATGTCTTGTTGTCCAGATACTTGTCCACTTGTTCTTAAGCTTTAGTCTCTTCATATCACAGAGGCCTATCAGAACCGGCCTCACAGGCTCATTCTCTTCAATGGTCCTCTGACAGAGTAGGGGTTCAGTAGTTTTGTGCACATAGAGCTACAGTTGTGCTTTCTACTAACCTCATCTCCACCCATATGGAATATGTCAGGTTCAAACAAAGCAAACATATCATGGTATATTCCTCCAAGAATTTCATAGACAGTGTCATTGGTTGGATTAAGCTGTCCACATGGAGGCTCCACACAGTAGTTTATCCATGGCTGAGCATTTACGCACACGGTGACATTAGGCCCAGCCCACTGCCAGCCTTCACCAACATGTGCTGGTGCATCAAATTCAGGAACTACGCGTATGCCTCGTGCCCTTGCATATTCCACCACAGACAAGATATCTTGTGGTGTGTATATCTGGAAGTACAGAAGGCAGAATATTGAACTGGAAATGGTCAAAGTTTTTTAGATATGTGGCCCTATGGTGACATGCTGTATCACTAGATGTGACAGATTGATGACATTACTATTTAGCTTAGTTTGTATTACATAGAGTATGTTATATTGCTATCAGTGTATGTTATATTTTTATTGTTATGTGTGACAGTACTCCCATCCTAGATTCAATGCATTCCTGATAAACTGCTCATGATATTTAGGCAGTAAGATATGTGATGTCATGCACATATTTAATAAATACCAAGAAATGCAATTCTTCACATTCTGTATATTATGCAGAGAAATTAAATAGGAAACTGAATAATGAATTACTTTCCCAGATATTTGTAAGGATAAACTTCCTGTACATGACTAAATTTAAGGCTATTTCATTCTTAGAGACTCTGTGATAAGTAAACCAGAATCTGTGGTTTCCAGATAACTTAGTCTCTTGTAGCAAAATTAAAATGTTTAACATCACTAAAATGAAAACCTGCAACTGGACATAGTCTTGAGCCATTTCAATTGCCACAGTTTATCTATCTAAGATTCATTTTTAGCCTACTTTCCATATTTCATGAGGAAAGTACCCGTATGTCCAGGTGTGTGTTTTCCAGGCCTTTGTATGTCCACCATAAAAATTCTGGACCAGTGAATGAATTAGTGTGTTTTTATGAAACTTAGTGTGAACATCATACCACAGAGGTCAACTACCTTCATATTTTCAATCTCCTACCACTGATAATATCAAATGGTGGCCATGTGAATTTGTCAGTCAGAAACCACGCTAACACCGTTTAATGCAGGAGCTTGAAGTTTTGTTTTCTTTGGAATATATGCAGTTTTTGAACTCTGATTAATGTAAAGTAACAGTGCAGTGGCTGTATGAAATTTAATGACTTATGTACTTATGTAAATTTCTTATGGAGATGGATCATGAACACAGCCACATTTTTGATGAAACATTTGTTTTATATATATGAACAGAGTGTGAAGGACTGAGGTTACATGTGACAGTTATCAAGTACTGGAAGTCTGTACTAGTGGAAATTCTGCACAGAACCACACCACTAAATTTTACATTTGCTGATTTATTATTTCTGCTAGCTTCTCTGTGCAGATTAATGTTATCATTTTGACTTGCAGGTTCCTTTCAGGAAATCTTGTGATATTTTCCCAACTCTTTCTCTGCCTTCAAAGTGGCATTTTTCAAGAGGTTTCCCTGCCAAACTTCTACATGTCTTTCTTATATCCACATGTCCAGGCAGTACTTTGTGAGTTGTATAAATTGTGATGCTCATTGTGTGATATCATTAAGTTCCCATTTATTTTATTTCTCTTAGGTCAACTTTTCATCCCAGTATCTTGTTCTTAAACTCTCAATCCCCATACTTTTCTTAGAGGCAGAGGCCAATGTTCTTACACATACAAAACAGTTAAAATTATTTATTGACACTTGCCTGTTGTGGTGTGTAGGCTCCATATAGCGACAGCTGTGGGTATGTCTGTGACTGGAAGGGGAAGCTGTGCGAATCAGTGAGGTGCCAGTGGAACGTGTTAAGTTTACTGGCTGCCATGCCATCAATAGTCCGTTTGATGGAGGCCACTGAGAAATAGTTTCGAGCTGTGTCGAGGACAAGCGATCGGAATGGGAATGCTGGTGAGTCTGTGATGTTCACATCACGCATGATAACCAAGCTATCTGTCACATCATCAAAGGTTATCAACTGGTGTAATGTCTCCAAACCGTGGCGGGCTCCAAAAAACTCGGTAGAAATTATGCTTGCTTGAATCTGAAAGGAACATGAACTACATATATTACTAATTAATGGTATGGGGAATTTTTTAAATAGTTATTCTGTTCATAGATCAATTCCTTGTTGTTATAGAACCAAGCACTCATTATCATATTTAATATCACCATTGGACCCAATTTGAGCCAGTTCATTTGAGGTGGCTTCTTCTGGGTTGTAGTATTAGGTGGTCTGGTACAAGTTTACTGACAATTTCAGAGATACTTGCTGCCTCATCATCAGGGCGATGAGTGAGTCATGCACAAGAAATCAGGTTGAGATATAGGAACCATTCAGTCAAGGCAGAACCTTTGTTGGATTAGTGGGGAATATTGGAATTGGGAAGGATATGAAAGGAAGCAGTTATGGTATGTTTTAAGGTAATTTCCCATATATTTTTTTGGAGGAACTTTGGAAAACCATGAAGAATCTCAGTAAGGATAACCGCTTTCTGAGCCAAGACTCATCTGTGATTTCCTATAATGAAACAAAAGTTTTAACTGCTAGTCAGACTATGGCATTCGGTTTCTTACTTCTATGCAGGGGGTTGTTTGCAGCTGTAGGTGGCTGTGTCCTTCAAGGCCAATGATCTGTTACTCACTGGAGTAAGACTTGATCACTTTCATGTTACAGAAAGTTCCCCCATGCTGTTATACCAGCCTTGGGTTTTTCTGTGGTAGTTCAGATGGTTCATACATGTATATAACAGAAACTGAAAGATACACTTAGGAAGCAAGCAAGACACCAAGGAAGAAGATTTGAATGGAAATTCAGTCAAACCTGGTAGGAGTTTATTCAGAACATAGTGAGAGGAAATGGAATTGAAAGGAATGAGGCCAAAATCCAA